GGAAATCCGTTCCCCAACTCTCACTCGCCCAATCCCAATAGATCCATTCTTCTATGCCAACTTGATCCAAGCAACAACTTAGAACTTGTATGTTGGCAAACCTTTCCATCAGAAAAACTGGACCATAGCATACTCATCAACTATGAAGCAAGAAAAGCCATGCCATACTGCATTTATGTCTAGTTCTTTGGAAAGTTACTAGAAAAAGCGATGAATACACATAGGATAATAGAGGCGCTTGATGCTATTGTGGAGAAAAAAGGTGATGTCAAAGGGTGTGGGGTTAGTAAAAGTATTAGTTGACAATAAAGAGGTCAAACAGGATCTTCTAATTATTGCAGGGAATAGAAAAAGGAGATAATGTATACTCGCAATCTGAACGAATACTTGTCATAAAAAAACGGGTTCTAAAGTCGACGTCTTCTAAGTGTTTGTCCTGGAAATTAGTGAAATCAATTTTCATGAAAGCCCTTGAATGTGATAAAGTTTCAACCAGAAAGCTGCTAGCTGGCTTTGGCGTAAGGATCCAAAAGTGCGCTTTATAGTGCAAATGCACAAGTGTTCGAAATTTGGCGCCAAGTTTCGGCAGTTGTCGATAAAATTGTTGCTGAAATTTCAAAATCAACGAACTTCGAGTTACACACATTTGGCTCATTTTCATCCACGGTACCCGCTAGCACTTTTCTAATTACTTTACCCAGCGTCAAAAAGTCTCTGAAGATGTCAATGGGTGAGAGAACGATTGTTTTTCGCCGAATTACTGCCAAAGATCGGTAACTGGTAAAAGATGTATCGATTAGCGTCGACCTGTACCGCATAAGTGGTATTTAGCATTGATCCATTTGCGCAAGAGTCTGGTAGGGGGGCGGGAGGGAGGGAGATGAGGACCCTCTTGTTTGGGCTGAACACATGTAATATCGTCTATTCTGGGCTGTCTTAAATTATTACATGATGTCGAAGTCTCGTCAAAAACTTTCCCAAAATGTCAAGAATTTTTCAAAGAGAAAGCTGCTAATCTGATTTCGCGTAAGAATCCGAGGTTTAACGTTCTGCAATTGCACCAAGCCACCAATGTGTTGACCACAAGCTAGAATGTGTGGTTAACAAGCTCATACTTGTCATCTATTTTATTTATTGTTAGATTCATTTGCGATCAAACAGGAGAGTACAAGTTCAAACTTGTTAGAGCAATGTGTGCAAAGCGGTCTCGAGACGATAAGCGAGAAGTCTAACTTTCCATTTTTACGCACAGTGACTAAGTTTATTTAGCCAACCCATAAAAAGGCTGACTCAGGGCGCGAAGCGAAATTCTGGTCGCAGTAACCTGTCGAGCTGCGGTCATCTCTACGCTTGCGTAACGCCGCACACGTCGCAGCACATTCGCGCACCGCTAAGGTCACCCGGCACTCTCGAGGTGACCGCCGGGTTCAACCAGTCTCCCCCGCGGGTTTGCAAGCGGCGTGCACGGGTTGTTGCGTAATGTTATTCCTAGTGGTTCTTTGGATGATGCGCATGCTATTCTCGGGTGTGTTTTCTAAATCGCAAAGTGTCTCGTTAACCTCGCTTTTTTCTGTGCGCGATCGACATCGAATGGCTGGGCAAAAAGCGGCGACGCATAATGTTCGCCATAAGTCTCTCTGGTAACCTTCGTTACGCCCGGTTATCGGTAAAGCTGTTCCGTAACACTATATTTGTAATTGATTATTAGGCAGCACAATAGGTCGAAGCCAGCAACGGTCTGTGAATTTTTCAATGATGGGGGGGGGGGG